CTGGCCTTTTCCCCCAGCAACTGGGGGGGGGGTCTGGCCCCCCCCCCCCCCCCCCCAGCTGGCTGGGATTTGGATTTTTCTGGGTTGTACCTGGGTCATGGTATCCACCCGCCATGTGGCTAATGAACCCTCTTTAGGGGGTAAATAGTTCCAGAAATCATCTAACACCCTTCCTAATTCCCACCATAGCCCTGGCCCTCACCCTGGAAAGCCCTGCAACAGTCCATTAGTCTGCTGGCCTGGCAAAGCCTCCCAGCTTCTATCTATCTGCCCCACCCCTACCTCACAGCTCTACTGTGACAGCCTTCTTGGCTGTGTGTCTGGAGACAGTGTTTCTCTTTGTAGCTCTGGCTGTCCTGAATTCCCTCTGTAGACCAGCCTGGCCTTGAACTCAGAGATCCTTCTGCCTCTGCCTCCCCCAAGTACAGAGAATAAAGGTGTACACCACCACCACTGCCTGGCTCAGCAGTTTTAAATATGCCCTTCATTTCCTAAAAAAAAAAAAAAAAAAAAAAAAAAAAAAGGAGCCGGGCAGTGGTGGTGCACACCTTTAATCCCAGCACTCGGGAGGCAGAGGCAGATGGATCTCTGTGAGTTTGAGACCAGCCTGGTCTACACAGAGTTAGTTTCAGGATAGCCTCCAAAGCCACAGAGAAACCCTGTCTCAAAAAACAACAATAAAAAAAATGGATCCCAGCTATTTCTTACTTAAAACCCTCTGTCACTTTCCAGTGCACTTGGGTTATACCCAGAGTCTACTGAGGCCCAACCTACACACCTCAGGCAGGTCTACTGACATTCCTAAGGGAAGTGACTGTTGAGTGTGGTACTACGGAATCAATCTACAGCTTTACTCGTGCTGGGCAAACACTACCACATAGCTACATCACCAGTCTTTTACTTTTCTTTTTCTGAAACAGGTTTTGTGCTAGCCCAGGCTAACCTGGAACTTATGTATCAGCCTGTATCAGCCTCACAATTTTTTTTATTTTTCCCTCTTTTCGTGACAGGGTTTCTCTGTGTAGCTTTAGAACCTATCCTGGCACTCACCCTGGAGACCAACACTGGCCTCCAACTCAGAGATCTGCCTGCCTCTGCCTCCTGAGTGCTGGGATTAAAGGCGTGCGCAACCAATGCCCAGCCAGCCTTTCAACCGTCAAGATTACAGACATGAGCTACCATGCCCAGCTCTTCTTTTTACTTAAAAAACAAAACAAAAAACCCTTTATTTTATGTGCATCCGTAATGAAGATGTCAGATCTCCTGGAATTGAAGTTATAGATCATGTGAGCTGCCATGTGTGTGCTGGGAACTGAACCCAGGTCCTTTGGAAGAGCAGCCAGTGCTCTTAACTGCTTGCTGAACCATCTCTCCAGCCCCCTTCTTTTTACCCTTTAAAGCAAGATCTCACCTACTCACCCAGACAGGTCTTGAATTTTGACCCTCCTGCTTCAGCCTTTTTAAGCAGCTTGGAAAACAGGTCTATACTAGCAGGCTTGGTCCCTAAGGGGAATTTGTATGTGGTGAGGCTGCTGGCCAAAGGTCAACCTCCTATGTTGTTCCTCAGGACCTCTCCCCACCCCTTTTGACAGGATCTTTCACTGGGGCCTGGAGCTAGCTGGGCTGGGCTGGGCAGCTACTGAGCCTCAAAGATCCACATCCCCCCCCCCCCCCAGCACTGAATGATAAGGCATGTACTGCCTAGCCCAGGTTTTTGTGTGGATGTCAGGAACCAAACTTAGGTCCTTATTGCTTGCATAGCAAACACTTTCCAAACCCACTTCTGCCTCAGTGTTGCTGCCATATTCCCCATGGACCTGGATGCTTCACTGCCTTCCCGTTCACAGCTCCTGGATTTGGCCCCAAACCAACCAGCAAAAGTTACAGCCTAAAGCTCACGCTCACATCACAGGTCCCCGTGCCCTCCCGTCAGGCCATGTCCTTGCTGCCCTTCCCTTCCAGCTGGACTGTCTTCCGAGTCACTGTCTCCCTACTCCAGTCTTCCTCATCCAACATAGCTTCATCACTCTGGTCCAGATTCCTGTCATCACAGCCTGGACCACTCCAAGCTGTCCCTCTTTGGTCTTGTATTTGTCACTGCAATGAACTAGAAGCCCTGTGAGGGCAAGAAACAGGACAGATACGGCCCCCAGCATCAGCTTAAGCACATGTTGTGTCTCACGAGGAGTGACTGGTGAGTAACCGGCTGGCTGGCTGGCTGAGGGTTCAAGGCTCAGTATGGTAGTGAATCTGTCATCATGGCTCACTCAGAATTTGGAGGCAGAAGGGTCACCGAAAGTTCAGGGCCTGCCTGATCTACAGACTAGTGTCAGGAGAGCCTGTACTACTGAACGGTACCATCTCAAAACAGCTTAAAAACAATGTTCCTGGCCGGGTGGTGGTAACACACACCTTTAACCCTAGCACTCAGGAGGTAGAGGCAGGCGGATCTCTGTGAGTTCAAGGCCAGCCTGGTCCACAGAGTGAGTTCCAGGATAGTAGGGACTACACAGACTCTAAAAAACAACCAACCAACCAACCAAAAAAAAAAAATGTTCTTGTGGGGAATTGAGCTTGGTCACAGAGTATCTAGAAAATTCCTTACCAAGCAGAGTTCCAGCTGATCGCAGAGAGCGTAAAACTCCTCTAGACACTTGTCAAATCGCTGTATGGGTCCATCACTGCTCTTTCTACAGCCAAGGAGAAAAACAAAGGCTGTTTGAGCAAGGATTTCTAATCTCTGAGACACCAGCATCAGTTATGACTAAGCAAGCCCAGGCCCAGGGGGATCCAGGCAGGGTTTGAAAGGAGGGGGCAGGGCAGGGCAGGGCAGTGGGAGGGGCGTTTCTAAAGTTGAGGTGGGGAGGGGCTTTACTCACTGTCCGTTGTCAATGTTAGTGTTCTGAATCAGGTTCTGGGCTGCAACCTTCATCAAAGTCTTAAAAGAATAATAATGAGAGAGAAAAGTAAGACGCAGGGGATCAAGCCCCACAAGGAGGGTCTGCACTCTTGAGATCCACAGGCCCGCTTTTCGGGCGGCGCCTCCGTCCCCACAGAAATCTCAGCCACTATTTCCTTAGAGGCCTCATCTCATTTGGAATCGTCACCTTTAACTTCCCAGGCGTACCCTTTACCCAGTCGAAACAGCCAGAAACGACGCGTAGGCCGGGTCTTCTTTCTGCACGGGGTTAACGACCATAAACTCCCTCCCCCCCCCCCCATTTCGCACCTCCTTTGGGTTTTCTTTTAGTTTTCCGAGACAGGGTTTGTCTGTGGCTTTGGAGCCTGTCCTGGCACTCGCTCTGGAGACCAGGCTGGCCTCGAACGCACAGAGATCCTCCTGCCTCTGCCTCACGAGTGCTGGGATTAAAGGCGTGTGCCACCACCGCCCGGTCTCCTTTGGGTTTTCAAGTCAGGGTTTCTGGCTGTCCTGGCACTCGCTCTGGAGACCAGGCTGGCCTCGAACTCACAGAGATCCCCCTGCCTCAGAGCACTG